ATCCTTACAATGGCGTGTATGAAAAATTGATGTTAAAATTATTAGCAATAATGGATTTGTTTCTTATTGTGTTATGGAAAGTCAAGAATTTACCAAATAGGGAGAGTTTCTCATCGCCCAAGTTTCAATTGGACAGAAACTTGGAATCATGCAACTTGGTTGCATGATGAATGAGAAATTTCATATTTGATAATTAGACTAATTCGTTGACAAAGTGTCAAGTGAAGGACTAGGAGATCGAGTACACAAAGTTGTGTGTTGATCAAGTTCACCATAAGAGTAACAAAGATATTCGTCATCATTTACTAAAGGTTTAGTAAATATGATTATACTTACAAGATTAAGTGTAATTTTGAATTGATTAAAGGGTTTAGATCAATAGCAAAACGAATAAGAAGAATCAAATAGGCAGAAAGATAAGAGTTTCTCCATTCTAAGAAGAAGGGAGAGTGGCTTTTATGCTTTATGATAGGTCTTAATGATTAAGAACCATATCTCAATTGATCCTCTAAGTGAGTCTTGGTACAATTGTATGTCCAAGAAGAGGAATCAAAGATTGATGAAATGGTCAAATCAAGAAGACAATCATACTTTGTTCCAATAACAAGTCTTAAAGTTAAGATTGTGACAATGAGTAAAAGTATTAAAGGTTTATAACATTCATCAAATGTGGAAAGTTGTGATGTCTTGGATAAGACAAAGACCAACTATGACCAATTTATGAAGTGTTTTGATACAAGCTACACTAACTCTTGAAAATTTGTTTGTCAAGAAATGTTTATTGACAAAAGAATCTTATATGTCAAGGAGTCAGTGGGAGTCTTAATGGTCTCGAAAAGTTTCAAGAACAAATCAAATAAACCTTATCGATCATCACTAGCACACGAGTTGAGGTTTACAACCTATCGTAAAGACATTATTTTGTTTCTGTGCCAATCGAGTTAATTATGCATGTGAGTCCTATGAGTTCTCATTTGAATGCGTAAAAGGCAAGGACCTTGATCAATGAAAGGTACATTGATAGGAAAAAGGTAAGATGCTTAACTACTTGGAAGACGTGGTGGGCAGCTGTGCTACCATAAGGCAAGAAATCAAGATTAAGAAAGTTCGATCCATATGAGTTTGAATTTGTCGTAAACTTTGGTTTTAACAAATTCGCATGGATAGGAACACATACACCGTTTAAATCTAAGTGTCATAAGATTTCCTCCTTCATGAAAATGATTGTGAGAAAATGCTTTCACTAAGAAAGATTTTAAAAGATAGTGATTGTAAAATTGCATTCTCAAATTCGATCATGGTTACGGCATCCCTTTCCATAATTTGAATTGTGAGGTTTGGCAATTAGTCTTAATTGTTAAGACACACATATGAACTATCTAAGGCAAAAGTGTATAAGTTCAAGAAGCCTTGATAAAAGATTATCAAAGCACTAAGTATTAGAAACATGAACTTAAGAAATTCAATAAGTATTGTTTTTCTGAAAGTTAAGATGTTTATGAATACATGTCGAAGCTAGTGGGAGCATAAGTGTTATGTTTTATAATAATCATCATGATAGTGGGAGCATAAATGTTATGATTGTATGATTATTAAGGCACGTATTGCATAGTTGGCAATATTAATTATAGAAAACAAGAGTCATACTTTGCAAAGTTGTAAGAGTTGAAAGGTTGTTTTGCTATAATTAAGGGAGAGAATATTATGCTTCATTTCAAATCTAAAGGATTAGGTTGTGAATGTTAATAAATTTAGTCAAAGGTACATAGTGTGTTCTTAAAATTTCGATTGTGATTACGGCATTCCTCTTCGCAATTCGAGTTTTGAGAACATAGCAAATAAAACATTATGCGTCGTGTCCCATACGCTTCGGGTATAGGATCGATTGCGAATGCTTTAATGTTTGACCATTCTAAAATTTTCCAAATGTATAGTGCATTTAGAGGGAAAAGGGACTAGAATTGGTTTTGACTAAAATAATTAAACAACTATCAAAGGACAATCCAAAGTTCGACGAGGATTGGTCGCTTGCGAGTAGTTGGAAGTATAGTATTGGAAATTATGGAAGTGTTTCCATATTGGATGGACGATATCGACATCATTACGAATAGATAAGATTCTATTAAGAATGAGTTGTCATATAGAAAATATGGAAGTGTGTCCATGTTGGGAAGTAAAATCTATGTCTAGATTAGAAACTTTATGCGAAAGGATGTTCAAAGGAATGTACTTTGAGTGAGAGACATCATATCTAAGGAATTGTCTTGTAACAATCTCCGATAGAGGAATTTGTAATATCATTGGCAATAGTCTTTGAGACTTTGGTGCAGTGACATTACAAAAGGATCGTTGCATAAAGTGTTAGAATCTAGTATTCTATAAGTAACAAGAATTTGACATTCTTACACTTAAGAAAATGGATTTGGTGTTGTAAAATGAGAATGATTGGAAATGTGTTCAATTTGTCTATTTCGCAAAAGTAAGAACCATAGGTAAACATTGTGTGCATGCTAGGAGCATGGGACAAGTGTTGGAATTCAAATGCGAAGTTGATTACCCGAAACGACAAATAATGAGTAATCGATATGGTGATAAATAAAACGTGTTTTGTTTATACTCAAAGGTTTGAGGCCATATGGGATTAGTATTATTCTTGTGTTTCACCTTGCATGTTTTGACTTCCAGAATAATTGAGTTTATTAAGAATAATCGAATTATTCAAACGGGCCACAGTCGTTCATATGTTGGAAGTAGATATGAATGAAGACTGTCGTGAATTGGTGTGTGGATTGTCTAAAGAGTATTAGACATAAGCAAATGTTTGCTGCAACGTTCATGAGTGCTTATGAATATGATTTGAGCATTGGATTAAACCCACGCTCACTTGGATCACTCCATGAATTGTATTACGAGTGATTGGTGAGACGATAACATCTTATATTCTTGAAACCGAGATGTGTGAGTTGTATCTTGCGAATCGGTTGCACATTGATAATATGTAAACGCACTAGTAACTTGGTGTTATAAAACATATTGTTGTGTGTGATTTGGTTAGTGAGTGCAAGCGAACATTGTATCAAAGTTTATCCGTTCCTTTTATCCAAAGTAGGATAAAAGCGATATCTTTGGGCCCCTCGATGGTTTAGTGATGACATACGTAAATGCTCGGCCGGGCTAGGGCTAATTTGATTTGTTCAATTAGTCTGTCGTCATAAATCGGAAATCGAGAAGTAGTACAAAGAGAATGATTAGAAATCATATCTCATACGATATCTAGAATGGAGGAATATATGATCCCTTATCTAAGGACACGCGTATCTGATATGATCAGAGTTGACAGCGGCTTTGGAAAGCTACGATTGCAGATCAGGATCTGAAGTCATACGCAGAATAGTTGTTAGACTTATCCAAGTGGGAGACTGTTGGATTAGTGTCTAAGTCCATAACTATTTTGGTATGTACTTGACCCGATGGTGCATGGTCCTTTTGGGTTGCCTTCACCAAAGCAACTTGATTGGAGAAATGAATAAAGAGAGAGAGGATAATATGATTTATTAATATGTTATAAGAATAATATATTAAAGGAGAAATCATATTTGTTTAATTAATATTGGTCAATAATTAATTAAGAATTAGTTTTGTGATCAAATGTAATTAATTAAACTAGAGGGGCTGAATTGTAATTATGTGATAGTTACAAAATAAGGTAAGGATTATCTTATATATATGGTGAACGAATTTGAGGTGTAAATCCCTTAGAATTCGAGTATGATAAGGATTCAAGGATTATCTTATTGGTTGCTTAATGGATAATCAACTAGATAAGGATAATGACTGAAACCCTATCTCTACACCTATATAAACACCCCTAGGGCCATGAATTCGTGGATTCCTTCCCAAGAGGTCCTAGATACGAATTCTAACCTCTCACCCCTCTCTTTATACCTTCTCCACTTGCTTATGGTGTTTGTGAGCCATTAGAGGAGTGACACTTGTGACTCTAAGCCTTCCAAAGTCAATACAAGGAGAATTGGGATTGTTATTGCTACATAATAATCAAGGTAACACTATAAACTTATTCTCATGTTAATATGATTATATGTATGCTAGAATTAGGGTTTATAGTCTTGGATTCAAAGCATGTACAATAGAGAAACCTAGATCCAAGCATTAGGGTTTGTATGAGCACATAGGATGTCTTATGACCAAAACCCAACAAGAACATGGGTAGATGAGATAGTTGATGTCTGATAAAAGGATGAGTTGGATTAGAACAAGAGGTTAGTTTTAGATCTGTGAGTATGGATCAGGTAAAGAGATAAAACTTGTTATTAGTCCGGGAGTACGGATTAAGACTAAGTTAATTGTCCCTAGTCCGGGAGTATGGATTGGGCATAGTTATTGATCCAAGAGTATGGATCAGATCAGGATTAAGGTATAGTTAATTGTCCCTATTCTGGGAGTATGGATTGGGTACAATTATTGATCCGCGAGTATGGATCAGACCAGGAGGTTAGTTTTAGATCCGTGAGTATGGATCAGGGGAAAAGGTTAGTTTTGGATCCATGAGTATGGATCAGGTGAAACGGTTAGTTTTAGATCCGTGAGTATGGATCGGGTGAAGTGGATAGTTTTAGATCCATGAGTAGGGATCAGGTAAAGAGGAAACTTTTAGATATGAGAGTTTAGATCGTCTCGTTGTGAGGATCGATGGGGTGGGATAAGAGTTGCCTTTATATGGTGAAATCGTACAAGTTTGAATGTTCTATTTATATAAATATATGATATAATATTGTGGGATGAAAACCCTATATGCTTACCAGACTCCCAAGCCTGACCCACTCAGTTTTCTTTGTTGGGCCATGGGTATTTGTTGGTAGATCGCGAGTGGTGATGTTAATGTAGTGCCCGCTATCAATGATGGGTGGTTCTGTGGTTGTGATGTAACACTTGGGCCGATTATAGTGTTGTTCGTATGTAAGCTGTTCACAAAAGGCGTTATGGGTGTTGTTTGGGAGTTTCTAGAACCGGTGGTGTTAGGTAAGAATGGCGGCAAAGGGGGTACAATGTATTGGTTAGGCACACTGCTATTTGGGAATGGTGGGGGTGTTGCATGGGTCAGGGTGGATGGCGAAATTTGGCTCTGGGTTAAAACCAATTGCATGATTGCTAAAACGGAGGGTAGCGGGTCGTCTGGTGACGGTGCCATCATGGGATATGGTGGTGGACCACCATATGATGGTGTTGCCCTAAGAGGTGGTGGTGGGCCACCAGATGGTGGTGCTGGTTCAAGAGACAATGGCATGCCAGCGGATGATGACGTTGCTTCAAGAGACGGTGATGGGCCGCCGGAGGATGTCTCTGTTTTAAGAGATGGTGACGGGCTGCCGGAGGATGGTACTGTTGGAGTGTTGGTTGCTTCTAACGACGCCATCGGGTGTATCGGGATATGCGGCGATTCCGATGGCTCACCCGTCGTCTTCTTCGCAATGCGTAGTTAGGTTGAAGGAGAAAAAGAAAATGGGTTTGTGTATCTATTGTCACACAAATGGATGGTGCCAAATGATGCGACCTGACTCTGAACCACCTTCGCATCTGGGAGATGATCGATGGAATAGAACCTGAGAAGTCACAAAGAAGGAAGAAACGTCAATCGCCTTCCGGGGGGAAGTCCCGGGAAGACGCTCCGACGATCAAGTTAGTGGGAGGAGTATGAAAGTATGAGGGTGAATGATTGGGAGAGAATAGCTTACCTCTCAAGGCAGAGTGATCGGCCTTTTATACTGAGGATCTTCCTCGATTCGTACGAGGGACAAGGACTGCGACCCCGACAGGATCCGCCGTCCTTATTGGAGGACAATTCTCCACGTTCGTGTCTGGTCCAACGATTGGTTCAAGCGATAATGCTCTGGTCATACTCTTTTTCGTCCGAAGCCATTATCTTTGGACTGTAGCTGAGGACAACCCCTACCAAGGGTGGATTTCCCACGCTGTTGCCTCTTGTGGGTCTCTAGCGGTTAGGGCGACGAAGTCGCCAGCTCGGGCTTCGATAGGAACTCCTCGTCGGGGGTTACCACTCTGAGGGGCGCGTCATCAAGTCCCCCAGTCCAGTAGTTATAGCGTATGCTAGTTAGCTAGGGCGTTATGGACTTAACTACTCTCGTCGGGGGTTCTTTTGTCTCTAGCCCGCTCTGAGGGGCGCATCATCAATATATATACATGAAAACTTTCAACCAATTTCCAACATTTAACTTCACTTTTTTTTAAAAAAAATTAAAACTTTATCCCAATACCAATAAACTATTCTTATTTACTACCACATCTCAAATGATCTATATCATTTGTTAAATATATTCTTATTATATATAAACTAATTTATGTAAGAAACAATTAAGAAATTAAGAATATATATATATATATATATATATATAGGAGTAGGATCAAATGAGAACACCAAAAAGGTTGACAACGCGAGAACAAAGTATATTTATTTGTGATTCCTTGTATTCATTTGTGGAGGAATAATAAATTTTTACGCCTTTAATTTCAATTGAAGAGAAAAAACATATTCAAGTTGATTGTGCATAAAAATTTATCATTTCTCCACAAATAAATACATGGAATCACAAATGAATATACTTGTTCTCGCGTTCTCAACCTTTTAGGTGTTCTCATTTGATCTTTTCCCTATATATATATATATATATATATATATATATATATATATATATATATATATATATATATATATATATATATATATATATATATATATATATATATATATATATATATATAAAGTAATTGTTGATGTGGTAGTGGGGACCATTTTTGAAAGATGAGTATTATTGCACTGATGTGAGGAGTCATTGCAAAGCTGATGTGACACTATCGAAAGATTAGTGACATTGCGCTGATGTGGATGGCTTTTGTAGTTTATCCTTAAATGGACGTGAAATAACATTTTTTTCCTTATTTTAGATTTATAACTATTATTTTTTAGTATTATTATATTCGAATAATTTTACTTTTATTCGTATTTTCTTAGTAAACTTGGCATTAGTGTAACACCCCATTTTCTCCATAGTCGTAGATTGTAAATATTATAAAATACGAAATAAAAGTATATTAATCTTAAGCCAAAATAATTTTTATAGACACGTAGGAAATGTCAATATAATTTTAATAAATACAGAGAATGTCCAAATCTGACTTCGTGACAGAAAGTTATGATTTTTCGAAGTTTCTGTGCAACCAGGTACAGCAGTGCGCGAATAAAAAATTGAATTTTAGAACAATAGATTATTAGGCAAAATAATTTCAATGATAGTTGAAGATCTCGTTCATAGGAGTTCGTCGATATAAAGAACATCGAGAGAGGAATCGGTATGTAAAAGCTATGCTTTCTGGTAGTCATCTTTAACAGTCTAACCATATAAAAATATAAATTTTTGATAGAGTGAGAATTAGCTGTTGGGATCTAAAGGACAGTTGTAGATCTCATCGAGATCTCTCCGAAGATATAACGAACACCGAAAACGGAGTTCGTATGAAGAAGTTACGCTATTTCAAAAATCTAAACATTTGCCCACGCGGTGATTATGTGGCACCACCAGAGGGGCGCCACGTGGCAAATCAGCAGCCCACTCCTCTAAGGGTCAAGGCGACGTGACACATTGTGAATGTGGCATGTGGATCCACCATTTCATGATACATGGCTTGTTTCTATAATGTATGAGGTGGACGACTCCGTGTGCGACACATGGTAGAAGGAGAGTGGATCCAGCAACACACACGTGTGTGGCGTGGCAGATGCATGCACGACACACCCCTAAAACTTCCCTCTCTCGATATTCTCCTATCTAGAGCCATATTCCTATATTTTCGGCCTGCGGGAAGCCCTACAACACCCCCGTGTATGCGCCCGAGTAGTAGCCTTCGAGTATGTAACGTCCCAAAATTTAAGACCAAAAATTTCATTCTTAAATTAAATAATTATAAAACTCATTTGTCTGAAAACATCCATACTATCAACTCGTATCAAAACCCATGTATCAATAGTCAAAACATGTCATGATAAAACAACATCAGAGTATAAATCCCCAAGATCTATTGTGACAACCCGATATTTCGACTCTATGTAATGACCTAAAAAGTCAAGTATTGTAACCACTTTTGAAAATAATGAAATTAACTTTGAAAATAAAATGTACAAAAGTCTCTATTTGGTTACCTACTATGTTAGATATCATTAAACCGTGAGCGAACATACGAAGAACGCCCAAATCTGACCTCGTACTAGGAAGTTATAAATTTTCAAAGTTCGGTATATAGCGGTAGACAGCTAAAAACTCGAAACAAAGAGCGAACGACTTTTGGCCGGAATAACCCAAATGAGAATCGAAGGTCTCGACAATGGTATTTCAACAGTAAAAAGTCTGGCAAAAATAGACATCGGATAAAAAAATTATGGATTTCTAACGAACTTTTCCTTCCCCGACCTTTTAAAAATAACTAATAAAAATAATTTCAAATTTGCCGACGGAGTCTAAACGAAAGTTGTAGAGCGTAGTCTCACCTACACGTGGATATAAAGAAAGTCGAAAACGGAGTTCGTATGAAGAAGATATGAATTTTTGAAGTTTACTAAATAAATAAAATATAAATTTAAATAAAAATCCGGTATTATCCGAAGGAGGAGTCACCGGGCCCAACGTACTCGAGTGCTAGGCCTAGGAACATCCACGTCACCCCTCTACTCCCCTATGCCTTGTCCTGTCCAAAGTTCCAGCAGTCGAGGATGCGATCACTCTTGACGCACAGGTACGCCCCGCGTAACCCCGTACGCCCAACGTACCCAGGCGGTTCCCAGCCCCTATAAAAGGGATGCAAGGGTTTCGAGTAAATTGCTCATTTTCTCTACTTTTTCTTGCGTTTCTACTTCGTTTTGCGTGCAAGTAATATCCCGAAGCCCCGGTTTTCATACCCAAGCCCCGAAGGAAGTTTACGCTCCTAAGAATCCCGAGAAAATCTCCTTCTCTCAAGTCAAAGTTCTGCTTGGTTTTTGTCTCACCTTCTTCGATCTATCAAGTGAGTTCATACCCCTATAAACTACGCTTTTAGATGTTTGATAAATTCTTTTTATACACTTTTAGGGAGGGGGGGGGGGATACAAGTAAAAACACAGTTATAATCGTGTGTAACCTAAAGTTTCACTATATGCACTTTTTATCAAGTAATCATATGTGATTCATAACTACTATATGAGAACTTTCGTATGCGATATATATTCTCGATAACATCTTGTCTTTTGGAAATAAGACATGTATATATATATATATATATATATATATATATATATATAGACACAAATTAAACACTTTATTTATACTTTAAGTATATGTGATCATTTATGTCACTTTAAATGTTATACTTTACATAACAAGTGAGCATTACACTAGGGTTTACTATCTGAACGAAACACACACTTTGAAAAACTATAATAGGTATAGTTTACGAGAAAATCATGAACATTTACATACTAGAAACACTATATCAAAGAGATATTTTCATACACAAGAACAAATGGACATTTTCATACGTAAATTTGTTTTATACTAAGTTTTGCGAGACATTTCACGTACTTTCGAGTATGCATTTTAAGTCCTGTATTATATACCATAATCCCTTATCAGGGGAGCATGATTGTAACGACCCGTTCCCGGTATGTTGATTTATTGGTAATTATAGAGAGTTTTACAAGAGGGACTCGGCGAGTTCATAGCCTGACTCGCCGAGTAGGGTCGCGTCTGCAAGCACGCGTGAGCCGGGGACTCGGCGAGTCCATATGATGGACTCGGCGAGTCCATCCGTCTGGGTGAAACCCTAAATCCCCGGGTTGCCCACTATTTAAACCACCTTATAGCCCACATTCTCGCCTCCCTCACCCTGAGAACACAGTGAAAGAACCCTAATCCTCCCTTGAGAGCTTATATGTGTTTTGGTGCCATTTTGTGAAGGTGTGAAGAAGGAGAAGAAGAAAGAAGCAAGGAGAAGTGTTGTAGTGCAAAGATCCAAGGGCAAATCTGAGTTAATTGAGGTATTTTCGGAGTTCCTTCTTGTTATATGCTTTAAACTTCCATTAGAGCTCTCCTAAGAGCTAGTTGATGCTTGTTCCAAGCCTTACACTTGCATGAATCTTAATTAAGTCGAATATCTTTGGATCTGAATGTTGGGGTGTTGTAGAGCCCAGATCTACTGTCTTTTTGGAGTTATATTGCATGTTAACCATAGATCTACCCATTTTATGCATCTTTTAGCCTTATTTCCCTTATTCATGAGGTTGTGCACGTAAAGTTGGAAACTTTACGTGGTAAAACAGCTTATTGGACTCAGATCTATCAATTGTATGTATTGGATTCAAACAAAATCGAGTAAAAATCAGTTGCATGGCGGCAACTCGGCGAGTCGGGAAGAACGACTCGACGAGTTGGGTCGCGAG